CAGAGGGTTTGCAAGTTTCACACTATATCCTAAACCCAAAATCCAGAATCCCTAAACCCTAAACCCTAAATCCAAAACCCCTAAACCTCAAACCTAAATCCAAAATTCCTAAACCCTAGATCCAAAACCCCCAAGCCCTAAACCCTAACTCCAAAATCCCTAAACCCTAAACCCTAAATCCGAAACCCCTAAACCCAAACCTAAAGCCTAAACCCTAAATCCAAAACCCCTAAACCCCACCCTAAATCCAAAATCCCTAAACCCTAAACCCTAAACCCTAAACCCAAAACCCCTAAACTCAAACCTAATCCAAAATCCCTAAACCCTAAATCCAAAACCCCAAAACCCTAAACCCTAAATCCAAAACCCCTAAACCCTAAACCCTAAATCCACAATCCCTAAACCCTAAACCCTAAACCCTAAATCCAAAATCCCTAAACCCTAAATCCAAAACCCCTAAACTCCAGACCTAAATCCAAAATCCCTAAACCCTAAACCCTAAATCCCTAAACCCTACACCCTATATCCAAAATCCTTAAACCCCAAACCCTGAATCCAAAATCCGTAAACCCTAAACCCTACATCCAAAATCCCTAAACCCTAAATCCAAAACCCCTAAACTCCAAACCTAAATCCAAAATCCTTAAACCCTAAACCCTACATCCAAAATCTTAAGCCCTACATTAAAAACTCCTAAACCCCAAATCTAAATCCAAAACCCCTGAACCATAAACCCTAAACCCTAAACCCTAAATCGAAAACCCTTAAACCCTAAACCTCAAACCCTAAATCCAACATCCCTAAACCCTAAACCCTAAATCCGAAACTCCTAAACCCCAAATCTAAATCCAAAACCCCTCAACCCTAAACCCTAAATCCAAAATCCCTAAACCCTAAATCCACAATCCCTAAACCCTAAACCCTAAACCCTAAATCCAAAACCCCTAAACCCCAAACCCTAAATCCACAATCCCTAAACCCTAAACCCTAAACCCTAAATCCAAAATCCCTAAACCCTAAATCCAAAACCCCTAAACTCCAGACCTAAATCCACAATCCCTAAACCCTAAGCCCTAAACCCTAAATCCCAAACCCCCAAACCCTCAATTTTAAGGCACAAAGCGCCGTGTGCGCAGTGTGGCTTGGCTTCCAACATGATTTGTTAGCAAAGACACTTCCGGCAAAAGCTTGTCTAAAGTGAGCCTCGCATTTGGTTCAATTTAGACTGCGCTGGCCTTTGAGTTCAACCCATTTTATTAAAACCCTCGAGACTACAGAGGGAGCAGGGCCGGGCACCTTTTGTTCGCCCTTTCTGAAGGATTCCAGAAGGCGGAACAAAGAGGGCGAGGATCTTCTTGGCCTGCTCCTCTTCGGTGCGACGGCCGCCGGCGCCAAATAGCACCGGGACATGCGGTCTGTTGCGCGGCACCAGCGCCCAGTCGTGTCGATATGGGTGCGCCCGTTCACCCGTGCCCAGCACTATCCATTCAGCCCCGCCGCACTCTTGAATCTGGTAATCGACGCCCGGCAAGATCTTGTCTCTGGCACTCGACGACGTGTTCATGGACATTCACAGCGCAGCCTTCGAACGGCCGAGAGCACCTCCAAGGTTACCTGCGACAAGCGGCGACCAAGCCGCCGAAATACTGGCTGGTACTTGAAGAAGGCATCGACACGTTTGCAAAGTCTTTCGAGAAGGGAGGCATCCCTTTGCAGGCGGCGCGCCCTGCGTTCCCTTACAGCATGGCCTGCGTGAACGCTGGATTGACAAACGGTGACGCAAGCAAGGCTCTGGTAGATAGACTCTTGCATGGTGTGTTGGGAGGGACCCCGATCCTGCTGCGCTTTGATGTCACAGAAGCTTGTGATGATTTCCTTGTTGGCTGCAAGATCAGCCAACTGTCTTTGTACAGGGTCGACGCAAGAAGCACGTCGCTGAGGCTAGTCCTTCTAATAAGGACCAACCTAGGGTGCTGGGCCCTCCTCCCCTGTAGCCCTTCAAGTAAGGGCGAACATAAGGTGCATAGCCCACTGTTGACCTTATAAAGTAAGCAAGGACGTACGACACAGAGCCCCCCTGTACTCCTGCAAAAAAAGGGGGAAAACAAGGTACACGGCGATTGCCCTGTAATCCCTCAAGGGCGAACCTACAGGTTAAACACTCCTCCTCTTCGTGGTCCCTCACGTAAATTAAAGGCACATATCAGGTGCACTGCGCTTTGCTCTGAGTCCTTCTAATAAGGACAAACCTAAGGTACACGGCCCTTCCTGGACTACCAATCCGCAGGATGCTGCCAAGCGAGATCAGCGTGGTCTGCGCGCGCCTGTTGGCGCAGGTCGAAGCCGTTGTGCCGGAGGCGGAAGAACCTTCGCCGGTCAACGTCCTCTTCGGGTGGACCGGAGGTGACCCAAGCCTGTGTTCAGGTCCATCGCGCCCAGATCCCGCTTGTCCTGCAAGGGAAGATGCTAACAGCGGTGCTCCTCGACCTGTGCATCCACAGGACGCCGTGGCCGTTCAGCCGCGTCCGCGCGTGCTCCTCCTCCACCGCTTCCTGCGTTGGCTCTTCAACCGTGGAGCCCTCGAGGGACCCAGGCTGCTGCTGCAGATGCTCCGCGGCGAGCAAATAGATTGGCCTGCCTACAGTGACGCTCGCAGGACCAGAGCAAAGTGCCAAGCTTGCCACCAAGTCCGTGAGCTTGACTGCTTTGCTGCCTGGGAGCGCTTCCGCGCCAACTTTCTGGCCACCTGTCACATTGTCACATGTGCTCGGGTGGCAACAAGCCCAAGCTCACACGGGCGCCTAAGGTAGAGTACACCAAGTGCGGTGCGCGCAGCTTGCTCAGGAAGGGGCCGAAGCTAAGCGCCAGTGCCTGGCCTGTGTGAAGCAGATCGAGACGCTCACCTGCGCGGAGTGCGAATGCGATGCCACTAAGTCGGTGTCTGCCTTTGCGCCTCCTATGCTCACTCCACAAACTGAAGCCGCTGTGTGCCTAAAGTGCCAGGCTCGCGCCTTGCTTTGCAACACTCAGGCCCGTGCCGGCTGGTTCACATGCCGCGGCACCTGCAAGCTCATCCTGCCTGTTGAAGCAGCGTCGAATGACGACACTCACCGGTGTCTTAACTGTGCCGACCAAAGCGTGCGGGAGAAAGACCTACAGACTTGCCGCAGCTGCGGCGCCAAGTTCTAGCATCAGCAAGTGGCCGGTGCTCCGCGTGTTCGCACTTGCCCGGGCTGCCGCAAGCCCAAAACCTCAGCAGTGTAGCTCCCACGGGACGGTCTTACTAGCAATACATATGCTCGGGTGATGAATAAGCCATCGCCCGTCCAATTTTCTGGACTAGGGAAAGCTAACCTCCCTTGGAGAGCTACACTTGTGTCTGAGCTGCCTGGGTACAAGGACGCAGAACTGCCGCAGCAGGGCCGCCGTGTGCTTTCAGATGCCAAAAAAGACAAATATTTCATACTATGTGGAAAGAAAGCGGGGGGCCTCCTAGATGGAAGAACCTGGACAGAAAGTGCACCAAAAAGAAAGGAACCGTAGCAAAAAAGACACGTATCAAGTGAACTGAACTTACTTAAAACTTTTTTGGGCAGGTGCATCCTACTTGCCTGAATAGCCGCAAGCAGGAGGCTTTCCTCCTATAGGTCTTTCGGGTGGCTCCCAAACCATTGCGGAAGCGCGTCGGCAGCTCCCAGACCGTTTCTGGATGATTCCCCAACCGTTTGTAAGCTGTTTTAGGTGGCCTTAGGTGGCTGCCGCTTTAGGCTCCTCAGTCCTACGCACTGGCCGTTTCTTAGCTTTGCCAGGCCGCTCCCATAACATCTTGTTTCGGCCCGAGACCATTGTTTTCGCCCGAAAGTTTAAGGGCGGCGGCGCGTGGCGCAAACGCGCAAAAACAAAATCATGTTTTTTCGCAATTGGAGGTCGGGGCGCGCCCTAGTAGAACAGCGGCCGTTTCCCGCTTTCCCAGGCCGCTCCCAGAACATTTTGCTTCGGCCCCAAACCATCGTTTTCGCCCGTTCCGAAAGATTAAGGGCTGAGGGGCGCGGCGCATATGCGCGCAAATTGAACTCATGTTTTTAAATTGAGGTGCGGGGCGTGTCCGTGTAGGTTTACCAACGTGCGCAAGAGATGATCTTGTCTGGGCGCCCGCTTGCTTCGGCCCCAGACCATCGTTTTCGCCCAAAAGTTTAAGGGCTGAGGGGCGCAGCGCATACGCGCGCAAATTAAACTCATGTTTATAAATTGGGGTGTTGGGCGCGCCCTAGTAGATTAGCAGTGCACCAGTAGATGGATTTCTCTGGGCGCCAGCTGCGCTGGCGGACCCTAAATGAGATTTTCTTAAACCCTGAACCCTAAATCCAAAACCCCTAAACCCCAAACCTAAATCCAAAATCCCTAAACCCCAAATCCAAAATCCAAAGCCCCCAAACCCCAAACCTAAATCCCAAATCCCTAAACCCTAAACCCTTAATCCAACCTCCTCGACCACACCGCCACCGTACGTCACGCCAATGACGCTGGAAGAGAAGACAGCTGCGCAGACCGTGGCCGGACACCTCGGAGCCGAAGTCAACACAGAGGAAGGCGTGCAGCAATGGTTGACCACACCTCTCTCCACACAAGGTGAGGTCTTCAAGCTCATCCACACCTACCACGTCAAGGTGGTGCGTCCGGAGGTGTACGGAATGGTGGCACAGCTCGAAACAGCGCTCTCGAACCTCAACGACAAGCTGTTTTCCTGCAGGCAAGAGCTGAGCTTCATGATAGCGGACAACAGGTCAGCGCAGCGACACGCCTCTGGAATGATGCTGGTGACTACGGGGGTGGCCTCCCATGCTTGGACCTAAGGAAAGGGTCTACCAACTGGGCTGGATGATCTCGCAGGTTCCTGAAGCCGTACAGTTTCTTGAGCATCGTGGTCTGAAAGCCAAAGGCGTAGACCACATCTCTCTTGACAGTGAGTATTGGTTTAATATTTTGCAGGTAGATCCCATGACGGTTCCTCAGGGAGACCACTGGAGTGGCATGACGCTACTCACTTTTAAAAGCTGGGATCTACGCAATGGTTTCCTCAGAAAGTTTGGGGGAACCAGCGGCACGCCTTTTTGGTTGAAGGATGGCAGCCCACAAACTGGGAAGCACATCCGCGTAAGCCCCTGCACGCCACAATGGCGGAGAAAACTCGAAAGCCCAATTCGAGTTGCGCTTGCCTGTTTGAACAAGCACAAGGACACGCAGGGCAAGCAGGTGGTCATTCTTTGGAAGTCCTTGACGGTGATGTCCCCGAAAGAACACAGGGACTTCCAGCCAGACCACACCGCCTTTTGCCGGTTGTTTTATGAAGAGTATGAGGGAGAGTTTCGAGGAAGGCTTGGGATCACACCTGAGCTTCTCGCCATCCTTAA